CATGAGACCAGAAGCTCCTTAGGGAGACAGAACCCACATTAGTTTCTTGAGGAAGCAAGTGCTGGTGGCATCCCCTGGGCACAGCACTGGGCACAGCAGGCACTCAGCACCAACTGAGAAATGGAGCTAACCAAACTCAGAGGCTCTAAGTGGAAAGGGTTAGCCTAGAACCATCAAGTTCTTTTTCATTTGGCCTTAAAAATTACTTTAAAAAAATTAACAAAACCCCCCAATACTCTGAAGATTCAACTGAGAATCAATTCTGAAGCTAAGTGAAACCTAGCCTTGATACAAATTCTGGCTTGGATACAAATCCCACAGAGGTCTTCTTGGTTGATTAACCTAATTTCTCTCAACAAACACATGCATAAAGAAGCCCTGGTATATACACAATGGAGTTTACTCAGCCATAAAGAATGAAATTATGCTATTGTAGGAAAATGGCTGGAACTGGAGACCATCATGTCAAGCAAGAGAAATTCAACTCGGGACAAATGTGGTTACGAGGCACTTAGGTCCATTAACTAGCTGCCTTAGTTTCCCTGTACTCTGAAGAAATTAGGGAACAGAAAATGGGTTCATTTATACTTTGGTGAACTGTGTGTGTGTGTGTGGGGGGGTCTAATGTCCATCCCATCATGCCTGTAGCCACCTTGCAATTTTTATAAAGCCATGAACCAAAGGCTAGAACATACACAAATTTAGCTGTGAGACAAATTAACAAGCCCTTTCCTGGGGTGGGGTGGGGGCTCCAGATGGCCTCCATATAAGACACTCTTAGAGAGTATTTTATTCAAGTACAGACTGAGAAAAATGGGCTCTTAAATATCACTCTTTTTTTTAAAAGATAAAAGTGTCTCGGGTTGTTGGGCCCATTATAGGTCTTGAAGAGGTTTTTCTGTTCCTGAGTCCATTCCTATCGCAGGTTAAAAAAAAAAAAGCCTTGGGTAGTGGGCTTTGGAACCTTTAGTATCTTTTCTTTGGAGGACAGCTCCAAGTTACAACTCCCTTATGCCTGCTAAACATGCCAACTTTGCAAATTATAAAGGTGGTAGTCTGATAGAAAAAGGGGGGGCATAAGATCCCTCTTTAGAATACCCCTGCTTCAGGCGTTCAGTGTAGGTATATCCTGTGTATAATTGTATCTCAAGAAGAATCAAGACTCAAATAGCAGTAACAACAATAGCTCAACAAAACCCTGAGAGTAGAAAAAGTAAAAGGTAGGGTTATTTGGGAAGAGGAAGGAACCAGCTAGAGCAGGGGAGGGTAGGAAAGAGTAATCAAAATTGGGGGTGGATATGATCAAAATATTTTATATACTCCTTTGAACAGTCTTAATGGGACAGGGCATGTTGGTATGCACCTATAATCCCAGCCCTTGAGATAAAGGCAGAGGCAGGAGGACCTCACAGCCAGCTGCAGACCAGCCTAAACTACATAGTGAGACCTTGTTTTAAGCTATACTCTCCTCCCTCCTCCAAAGGGAAATGTAGTTATTCTTGTAATAAATGCTAATAAAGAAATATAGTGAGGAGAACTCCTTCATCTGGGCTTCCGTGACCAGGCTGGCAGATGCCTGTGAATGTAAAGCACTGTAGAGTAAGCTAAGGTCAGGACAAAGACAGCAGTGATGCTTTGTGGAGTGGACTTTGGAGCACATACCCCAGACTGGCCATTATTCTCCAGACTGCATCACTGTCTGTGATGTAAGTCCCATCACCCCTTACACCTGCCCAGCCACCAAAAGATTCTATTGTTTGGCTGCAGGTGTGGGTCTGCCCTGCTCCTCCTGGGCTTGGCATCACCACTGAAGGCCATTCCCTGACTGCTCCACTTGGCAGGGAACATGGAACAGAGGGAGTGGACGCCACTGGGGTTTTCCCTTTCCCCATAAGCACTGTGTTCAATACGGACAAATATTTGTGTAGCCTCTGTATTCTGCATTAACACTAGGGCAGAATTATTAGTGATTGTTCTATGGGAAACAGCAAAGCACAGGAGAGAGAGTAAACTCCCAGTGGAAGATTAAAAATGCTGGGGGGGGGGGGGCATCTTAAGGTACTATTCGAAAACAGTATGGGAAACGGCAGAACTGTATTTCCTCTGTTCTTCTAAGGGAAGTTCAGGAAAAGGTCAGAAGGGGAACAATGCAGGCCATCGATCATACAGCCTCTCCCCTAGAAAGGTTCCTTACACACTGCAGCCTCATTTCTCATTCTGTAATTACCCACCCCACAGATTGCATGCCACCATGGCCTTATGAATTATACATTTCATTTCCATTTACTAATACCAGGACTTCCTGGCCACTGCCAGGGGGAGGGCAGTGCTTCAGGGACTGGGCCCATGCAATGCTCCCTCAGGTGTACATACAAATGTTACAGGATTCAATACAAAGGGGCTATGTGACCTTCAGTTCTCAGCCTTTGGTTTTGTTTATTGAACAAACAAGAACTGGCTACCAGTTGGGGGTTTCCCTGGAGGAGATCATATTGGGGTACCTTTCCTTCCCCTTAGAATTTTTCTTCAAGCTAAATCTTGTTAAGTGAGTATAAAGTGTGGGCTTGAAAGAGGCTGCAGCATCTGGGACCTGAAGTGTATTGTGTGTGTGAGAATCAGTAACCCCCACTTGTCTTGCTCTTTGAGTTGTGTGTAGACCAGGAAGGAAGCCACAGAAATGGAAACCATGGCAGAAACTGGGGAACTCTACTCCTCTAATTAACTAACATGACATAGCAATGAGACTTTGTGGAGTGGACTTTGCAGCATAGGCCCCAAACTGGCCATTATTCTCCAGGCTTGCATTACAGTCCCTGATGTAAGTTCCATCACTCCTTACACCTTCCTGTCTACTTGAAAAAGTAAAACAAACCAACAACCAGTAGGCTCAGTAGAAGTGGCATCCTTTGTAACTGAGAGAACACGCCCACAAAGACCATCCAAGGAATAGCCATAGAGCAGACAGACAGGGGTGAGCTAATAATCATTGCTTAGGGAGCAGAGGACACACCTGAAGCTATCACTCTCAGTCAGTGGTTCTCAACCTGTCAGTCTCCAGGCCTTTAGGGTTGGATGTCCCTTTCACAGGGGCTGCCTAAGATCACTGGAACACAGATATTTACATTATAATTCATAACTGTAGCAAAATTACAGTTATGAAGTAGCAACGAAAATAATGTTATGGTTGGGGGTCACCACAACATGAAGAACTATATAAAAAGGGTCAGAGAAACACTGCTCTATGTGACAGTATGAGCAGGATTTTAATTTTAAAAAGTTACTTTAGATAGTTCCAGAGATACATTTGTAAGATGGGCTATATATACATGCAAGGGATTTGATTTCTGAGGTTGGTCTCAGAAATGTCAGTAAATGAAACCAAATTGTTGTGGTGCGTATGCTATTTTTCTTAGGTTTCTTTGGGAAACTCCTTTTAATGTTGAATGTGTGCTTATAAAGCCTTTACTGAGGGTCTACTGCGAAAGCAAAGCAGTGACAGCCAGCCTCTAAGATGGCCTGTGATAGTCCACACCTCCTTACTGGATGTACCACTATACCAATAGGGTAAACGTGTAGAATCAATACAAATCACAGAAATAATAATGCACGACTTGTGAGATTAGTCATAAAAAGACACTAGTTTCTAGGCTGCTGAGTTTTGAGTCATTGGCTTCAGGAGAAATCAGTGGCCATGCTGCGAGGATAGGGAGCACCTACTAGCAGCAGCACCAGCTTGCCAGTCCTGAGAGTCTCTGTAGAAGCAGGTCTCACAGCTGTCAGGTGGGCTCAGTGGGTGAGGCCTCCCAAGACTGAGCCAGGATGGGTGTCCTTCTGAACGCTGTGAGTATGCGTTTCTCTTATTGGCTGATGAAGAAAGCTGTTTCGTCAATGGACAGGCAGGATTTAGCCAAGTGGGAAATCCAAACAGGGATAGAGACAGGTAGTAAGTGGAGTAGAGTAGCCATGTAGCTGCTGAGGAAGCATTGCCAGTAAGCCAAGACCATGTGGAGACACAGAGATGAATAGAAAGGGTTAGTAATTAAGAGAGAGCTAGCCAATAAGAAGCCTGAGCCATCAGCCAAACAGTTTATAATTAATATAAGCCTCTGTGTGATTATTTGGGACTGAATGGCTGCAGGGCCGGGCAGGACAGAAATGTCTGTCTACACTAAGCCAAGTTGCTCTCAAGTTACTGACTCCCAGAAACTGAGAGGATCAACACTGGACGAGGCCCCAAGTTTTAGGTCAGTTTGTCCCGTAGTCATGGCTCATGTTCATGCATAGGAATGTCATGTTTCTAGGAGAGCGAATCTGCGCAAAAGCAACTCTGTATTTACTTTTCTAGCCAGCCTCAGTGGAACAGTCCAGACACTTGTGCCAGGATCCACTTAGTCCCTGTCCTGACTGGATTCACTTAAAGACCTTCTAAGGACGGGTAGCACAATTACAATGAGGCTGAAGGACTCCCAAACCCTAAAAGCTGACAGGACCAAATGAGCAAGAAGAAGGCTGCAAATTGCTATCCTATGGGAAGAATCCAATAGAGACATTAACAATTTGGCCTGCATAAAACTTGAACTATTTTAAAATGTTTATTAAAAATTTTATTAGCATATACTAGTTATATATAATAACAGGTTTCATGATAACATTTCCACACATACATATTTAGATCATATTCAAGATCTTATTTATTTATTTATTTATTTATTTATTTATTTATTTATTTATTTGTGTAGGCAGGAACTTTCTGCACAGCCCTGGCTGGTCTGAAACTTACTCTGTAGACCAGAGTGGCAGTGAACTCAGAGATCCATCTGCCCGTGCCTCCCAAGTGGTGGGGTTAAAGGATTTTGACATTGAGAACTCAGGGTTTTCTAGCTTCTAACAAAAATCAAAAGCTCAGGTAACTCTAGGGCCCGTACGAATTCACAGTGACGAGGCTCTCAGGACAGTGGTGCTGCCTCTCAGAAGCCTCCCTTGTGTCCCACCTGCTGCAGCTTCACCAGCTTACAGACTGTGTCACCTGGCTCTATTGGCACTGGAATTCTGAGATGAGTAGGAGAGACTGGATGTAGGAAGACAGGTAAGAGTAATTACTGTTTTATCTCTGTGATGGGCACTTTGGAGGGTTAGAAATTTGTTTTCTTGGTTACTCCCCAGCCCTCTCCTAGCTAGCTAGTCTACAACTCTACTATACAGCCCAGGTGGTCCTCAAATTCTTGTTCCTCTTGCTTTAGCTTCAGCAGTGCTGGGATTACAGGGATGTGTTACCATGCCCTGTGCTTTCAAAATTAGTTTTCTTTTCCTAAACAAAAGCAAAGTTTAACAGCTTCCCCAGAGGCAAGGGGCAGTTTAGAACCTAGAAAGCACAGAAAATAATTACTGCACTCTGCCTTCAACAGCATTCATGTTAATCGCAACAGTTAGCTTGTTTCTAATTTAAATTTAAAAGGGGGGGGGGGAGAAAGTGTCTCTAGAATCAGGGTCCTAAGCCTGGAGCTAAGAAGCTGATGAGCAAGGCACCAAAATTCTTAGGACTCACAAATTGCTGCTAATGGCATCAACCACTTAGTTAAGTGGTGACATTTATAGTAGATGCAAACCAGGAGAAGAGTGGAGAAATAAACACAAAATGAACAAATTTTGCAACATGTGAGACAGAGCCAAGGTTCACCTTCCATTCTGATGAAATAAACAAACCCCAGCGTAAAGGAAGCTAACTGGTCAGCCCAGCCCAGGGAAGGGTTCCACTGCCGCATCTCCCAGGTGGCAGGTGCGTGGGAATTTGCAGAGTGAGTCTGTCTTCCTTGGCAGGAGCATCAACTTACCCCATACTGCAGGGGCTTCTTAATTATCACTTCAAAATGCTCATTTTCTCCCTCCCTTTCTCTAGTTCTTCCGGTTCAAACAGCATGGCTTGCCCTGTTTCTGCTGCTTTCCTGACGCACTGCTCCAGCCTTTCTTCATTTTGAAGGAACCCACGGATACAAAAGGAGGCAAGTGGGCAGGTTTGCACTGGGGGCCATACTACCATTTAATACTGCTGTGCTCTTACAGGCAGAGAACCCTTGTCCAGCTTGTAGAGAATGGTGAGAGTTGAAGCTGAGCAGGGAGATGGTCATCAGGCAAGCAGGATGCTATGGAGCCGACTACACACTAAAGAAGCTACATGAGAATGTCACCATCCGCCAGGCCCCTGAAGCCCATAGACCTTTCCTGGCCTCTAGCTTTTACCCTGCTCCCTTCTCTGCTGTCCTTATCACTCTCCCAAACCCCTCAAGGTTTGTGGTTCAGTGAGCGGCCTCTCCACTGACTCCTTCTGTCACTCTCCCCCTTTCTAGCTCCTTCTTGTGGACCCTGTCCCGCCTGCCATTGTAAACTCACTCCCTGTCATCACCATAAGCAGGCTGGAGCCTGAGACACAGTCTTTCTACATTTCCATTGGAGCCTTAGAATGAACTCAGTACCCTCCTGCTCTATAATTCAATTTCTCCTAGAGGAACCATCACGCTCTCCCTATCTGAAGTCAGTATGTTCAACAGTCATCTGCAGTGTCACACATTTGTTTGTCTCTCTTGTCTCTTCTTTTGCATCCTGTGGCGACTTCCAAATTGCTGAGATTATAGCGCACTGGGATTATATGCATGCACTACATTGTCTTTCTTTCTTTTTTAATTTAAACTAAGGCAGTGCTAAGGATAAAATGCAGTGCTCCATGAACACCAGGCACACATCCTACCAACTGAACTTCATCTCTACTCCTTTGCTCCCTCGACTCCCTGGTCCCCACCTGGATCTCGGAGATAATCCCTGGGATGTTCTCTGTTCTCAGTCTCCCCACTTTCCAGCCAATTATAGACTGGTGCTAGACTTGTTTTCCTAAAAGGGTTTCCACCACCCTACTTTCTTCCTAAAGAACCAACTTGTTATCACAGGAAGTCCAAGTTCTCATTACGTGGAAGGCCCCAAAACAACTGTTTCCTTATTCTACCAAGTTTCCCTCTGTGTCCAATTTCCTATGTCGTCTTCTTTGAACCAGATCTTGACTGTCATTTTGTATTCTCTGGTGATGTCTTCTTACTGCATGCTTCTGTGAGCTGTTTCTCTATCCCCTCCTCTGACACTCTAGGAGCTCAGTTCTGCATTCCCCGGGCTTTGGCACTACATGAAAGCCTCGGAGTGAACTCTGCAGCCTGACTTAATGCTGATTGCCCAGTGCCTTCTGTTAGACGGTGTTTGTCTCAGCACCATGCATGGGTTGTGACCATGCTGTGAGAATGGCATCCTTGGTTCACTTTACTGGTTCCTCAAGTCCGCAGGCCTTTTCTACAGTGAACTTAGACTTCACCTACAGGAGAAGGGCTTCTTCTCTAAGTATGGATGGAGCCTGTGCATCCTGCCTTCCTTCCATTCAGTGTCCCTGGGGTACGAAGGGAGACCCCAGTCTTAGCCCTCTCTCCCCAAGACTCTGGGTCAAGTCTCCTCTCAGAAGGCTCTTCATCCCTTAGCTCACCTACCACTCATCCTAGGCATTGACTCAGGTCCACCACTGCTTCTAGGTATAGGAGTTGACCTCTCCAACTAAGCAGAGAGATTCTCTATGAAAATCCATGGCACCTTCTCCTTCTAGATGCTTACTTATATCCCCCATGCAACATCACAGGGACTCAACAAAACACAACAGGACCAACTATCTGCCTCATATCTGTTGATTGGCCACCCTTTCCCTAGAGGTCCCTTAAGAGGTCTCCATCAGTATTAGAGCGGGCTTCTAAAACCAGCTTTCCCTCACCTGCTTTGTGCCTGTGCTGCTCACTTCTCTGTTGTGATGAAACACCATGCCAAAAAGCAACTTAGGGAAGAAGTTTATTTTGGCCTAGCATTCTAGAGGAGTAAGAGTCCACCATGGTGGAGAGACACAGTAAGCGTCGTCTGGCTGGGGAGCAGGAAGCTGAGAGCTCACACCCTCAACCACAGCAGAGAGCAGACAGCGAACTGGAACAGATGAGAGGCTTTGAACTCTCAAGGCCGCTAGTCCTCCCAAAGTTACACTGTGTAAGCCTCCCCATACAGGGCTACCAACTGGCGACTAAGCGCTAAATATCAAAGGCCGTGGGGGGCATTTCTCATTCAAACCACCATAGTGCTTCTGGTTGTGTCATCTGTATATTATGGGCCTACGTTTCCTCTGCTGTAAGATGGTCAGAACCATTGACCTTACATACTGTGTTGGGGCAAAGACCATGTGTGAAGAACTTATGAGTCTAGCTCACTTGCCCATTCAATAAATGCTGTGCAAGAATGACTAATAAGTGATAAAAAGCCAACTAGTTTTAAGTTCACTGAACTCTTTCCATGGAATGATTTCCATGTGAAATGGAAAAGCAAAACCAAGATTTTTTCATAGAAATTAATGTAATGACAACATTACTAGGACATGTACACACACACTATACATACATACATACAAAATCAGCCCCCCCCCTGTTAAAAGTTTTAAGGACTTTGGCTTATTAAAGGCTTTAATATGGTGGATCAGTGTTTATCCCTCGAATACTAACAGACATCGTGTGTCCATAACACAAAGAGGGATGCTCTCTCAGCCTGGACTCTTAGGGAAGTGCATGGACCCTACCCTGAGTGAAATGACAGACTCTAGATATCTCCTATGTGGAAGGAATTGGCAATAGGGTGGGAGGATGGGGGGGATGGTGGAGAGGTGCGGGAGGAGGGGAGGGAGAGGGAACTGGGATTGACATGTAAAACAAGCTATTTAAAATTAAAATAATAGCCGGGCGGTGGTGGCGCATGCCTTTAATCCCAGCACTCGGGAGGCAGAGGCAGGCGGATCTCTGTGAGTTCGAGGCCGGGCTGGACCGATAGCCTCCAAAACAACACAGAGAAACCCTGTCTCGTAAAAAACCAAAAAAAAAAAAATTAAAATAATAAAAAAAAGCTTTAATATGGGGGCGGAGAGAAGGCAGAGTTCAAATGAATGGAGCAATCTAGTTGGGGCTGTGGTGGGGTTGACCTTGTTTGTACATTTCCAATTCTAAGTTGTCATTATTATAGCTGTTTCCCACCACCTCCTTCAGGCTGCACCTCAGGAAGCACTGAGATGTTTGGTGATGGATGTTGGCCCACCAGTGTATAATCACCAGACTATCAGCTTACCTTACCTTAGGTTTCCTGCATGAACTGTAGGCACACAAAATAAGCTGAGTATTGGTGGCCTTCGGGTACATGGTAAGAAATTCACTGATATGCATATTTCTCATGGAAGCCAGCACTATGTGATAATGAGACACTAGGAATGAGACAGACTCCCTACTAAGCAGACAGACAGGGAGAGGGGCTATGACTAGGTAATAAAGGTGTCAAATTTCCAGGATGGCCAGCTTCCTCTGACCCTCCTGACTTGAGACAAAAGCCTCACAGCTTAAAACAAAAGCCTTTGTAGGCTTTTGTCTCCTACCAGCAGCTGGGCGGTGGTGCACGCCTTTAATCCCAGCAGAGGCAGGAGGATCTCTGTGAGTTCTAGACCAGCCTGGTCTATAAGAGTTAGTTCCAGGACAACCACCAAAGCCACAGAGAAACCCTGTTTCGAAAAAAACAAAAACAAAACAAACAACAACAACAAAAAAAAAGGAAGTTTGTCCTCTGCCCAGGTGGTATAGAGAAGAGACTTGTTCATCTGGGGTTAACCCAAGGCTCCATCATTGGGATGTTATTGTCATATGGCCTGCAGGACCTTCTTATATCCGTGGGTTGGACCTCATACCTACAATCATTTTTTCTCAGCAGCCAGGTGTTTCCAAATCCCCTTTCTCTGACTGAATTCATTAGCTGTTCACAGTCCTTTTAGATAGTGCTAAGAATGGTGTGGGAGGCACCTTCTACAGAAGGCTAGCTAAACATGACATGAGATAAGGAAAAACTATTCTAAGGAACAGAAGACAGCCGAGTTTCCTTGGCAGATCCAGTGACAGAGAAGCTCATGGGCCTCAGATCTTGGCAGGAGATAGGGACATGGTATGAGCATGAGCAGGAGAGCCCCACCCAGTTACCAAAGGGAAACAGCAAATGAGAAGACCAAAGCACACAGATGCTAGAGTCTCACCCCAGCTCGCCCTCCCTCAACCCAGAGGGTCCCAGCTCTACCAGAGCCCTTTAGTTTGGGGCTAGTCGTGGCATGTTGAGAGGCACAAACACTCCACCTTTATTATTACAACATGGCTTCCATTTTCCCTGCTGTGCAGTACTTTTCTTTAGAGGGTACAAGAGCTACACCTCTGCTAGTCTCTGCTCAGTAATCTCCAGTTATACTGTAGTCCTAAATTTCTGTTGCCTTTGCTCTCTCTACCATTTGCTTAAGTAACCCTTGATTTTTGACCACTTTTTCCTTTGTTCAAAGCACAAATGACTGAAAAAGTTAACCTTGAGTCCTAACTACTCCCTAATTCTAGGATGCATAGGTATCCTAATAAATATCCACAAAGTAACAATATAAGCAGCTCAGAATCCCCCTCTGATCTTGTCACAAATGGCCCCTTGACGGTCTTTCTTCGATACCATTGTTAACAAAGACTTAAAAATGCCTCTGGCTCCTACCTTATCTCACATCCAGTGCTTTCTTTCCAACTTTGGTGCCTCCCCACAGAGTCTACTTACCTATGTGTCTTTAATTCTTTGTGTATCTGTCTTTGAACTCCTGCCCTTCTGACTACTAAATGCTGGGATTACTAGGATTCCAGGTGTGCACCATACTTGGCCTAAAACTTTTAAAGACAAAACCCTGCAGGTTTCTTCAATGTGAAATATCTGAATTTACAGTATCTCCCCCATTTTCTTAGCTAATGCCGTAGCTGTGCATGCATTGACCCATGTCTCCAGGCTGGCCTCACACTTCCTGTCTACTCATCCATCCATCCATCCATCCATCCATCCATCCATCCATCCATCCATCCATCCATCCCCTACCCACTCCTGGAAAGAAGTTGTATTTGCATAGACTGATTGACTAATTAGAGTTTCAGTACTGTGGAAAAATGGGAATGTTGCAGGTTCAGAAGTTAATTACTTTATCTTGTGCTAATTCTAGCCCTCTAGAACAGCCATTCCTTGCCTCTATGTCTGAACTAACATCTTGTGACTAACAAAAA